AACCACTTATGAGTGACTGAAAACAAAGCTCCCTGGACCAATCTCCCCCACCCCAAAAAGAAGACTTACAATTTTTAGGATATTCGTCTTTTTGTTGTTTTTAGGTATTAGTTCAAAAAAATCAACCCAGAGTGTCCCACACAGCAGACCCTATAGGCGGTAAAGTGTTAACCAACTGTCTAGCTCTAACTTTTCAGGAGAAAACGACTTCCCAGACAGCTCTTGCAGGCTTATCTCCAATACACTCGGAACGTTACAGCTGTGCCTCTGGCCAGAGCTGGCCACTGTGATGCTTTTAGGCAGCAGTAAATCTTTTTCCCTCAATATAAATGCCAGAAAAATCAATGCCCTGGCTTGGAAAAAAGAAAAGAAACTGTATGGAATGTATAATCTATTAAAACACTCAGTAGAAGAATTTACCTTAAAAAATAATTTCTCAAAACATCACAACATACTTTTTCTTTTTTAGCACGGTCCCAGATCAGGGAGATACGCTGAGGTTTCTTTGTTTGCTTATTTTCCTCTGATGACAAAATTATAGAATTTAGTTGAAGAGGTTTTCAAAGCGTCCTCTTTCTTTTTCTGGACAACTAAACCTATTCAGGCACATTTTCATTAAAGACGTACATTGGAAATGATAAAGACAAAGAAGTAACCTTGTCTTCGTGGTGAATTCTGCTTCTCTTTGCAAGATCTGTACTTGCTTTTTATAGCCTGTCATTTCATCTGGGTATTATTTCCCGGTCACTTTGCCAGGTGGGAAGAGGCGGTGAATGCAGTGATGGCTGTCAGACCTTTAATGATGCTTCAGGGATTTGATAAAGATACAAAGCAGTGTCTGCAGAAAGGAGGTTCTTCCCTAATTATACCTGAAAAACAAGCCTCTTTTTTCTTTAAATCTTTGCCCCTGAATCTGGTGTGTATGAAATGATCCTGACTCACAAGCACAAATTAAGTTTTTCTGCATTTCTGTAACACACGGCTCCCCCCCCATACTGAACGTAATGTCTGAAAAAGATAGTCTTTATTCTTCATAACCATCTAGAGGGAAACAGAAGGGGTGAGTATTTCATCACCGAACCGTTACTCTCAACTCTTCCTTTAATTCTAAGAGATTTGACACATGGTCTTCAGAAGCAAATTCTCTGATTCTTTACTTTTTTCGAAGGAAACATTCTCTATGGTAAAAAGTGATAGATAAAGAAACAAAAATAGATTAGAAATATTTTTTTAAAGCTACAGAAAACTCCTCTCTTCTATCATGACGTTTAGAACAATCTGACTAGTCATGCTTTCATTCTTATCAACTTTTCCATTATAAAGCATTGCAAGGACCCATTCCAAGCAGCACTGTCTTGCTGTGCATTGTTTGAAGAGCCTGGCCCCTCTTTGCTCATAGGTTATCAGATGGGGCTGCCGTAATCTGACAGACGAAAATGACACATCTAAAAAAAAAAAAAACCAAAAAACCTGATGTACCTTCTTAATGGATCTTGTACTTTTCAATGACTGTCACCGAACCTATTTAAACGTTCTATTACAGAAGACAAGACTAATTTGGGGAAACCCTTTCATGCAGAATTGAACCATGTCCTGAATGAAAGAAAACCACCCCTAGTAAGTGCTCAGTAACTGAACCTACAATCTGACACCGTGAGAGGTGAGTGCTGTGCATGTCTAAAGACGTCATGCAAAATCAGGAAGAACCAATTAAAATACAAATGAGGGGAGAAGTGGCTTGGGGACCAGGAAGAAGAGATGGAGCAAGGTAACAGGCCGCTTGGGCTTGCTGGGAGGCAGAGGTTGACAGAAAGTTAAGGAGAGGTGATTGGAAGTTTACAGGAAAAAAAAAAAGACAAAATCAGACTCTGCTGGACAGAAGTCCCATTTCTATATAAAAAAGGATGGTGTGATGTTTTCATTTTTTAAAGTGTTAGAAATAAACGGAATGTAACTGAAATTCACGCATGGCTTGCAGATGCTGAAGCTTTGGGTCCCCCACCCCAGATTTAACAATCCGGGGAGAGGAAGCCGCTGTTAGAGCATCAGTTCTCCCCAGCAGCTTACAAGATCTTTTCACTCATCTCTCCACGGCCACTGCGAGCATCCCAGTCAGATGATATGCTTAAAACAAAACCATGCCATTCCAATCCCAGAAGAAAAGGAAACAGCTACACGCTCGGGAGAAGGCTTTTGAGGGCCTCAACCCCACCCCCCTCCTTTGTACATCATGTCTCTCTCTCTACTTACAAAGTTTAGGAGCAGTTTGGAGATTAGTTTCTGTTGTTTGTGGCTGAGTTGCTGACTTGGGCGTTCTCACCTCAGGGTTGCGAGTGGGTGAAGGGAAGGGTGGCGCAGTGGACGGCAGGAAAGAAAAGGCGAAAACGCGGTTCTTCGGGGTTGGCACCGCCGCAGGCTCAGAGGACACAAGGGCCTTGTCAACTTGCACTGTAACTTGAACCTCAGTTTCAGACTGAGCCCGAGAGACAGGTGAAGTGTATGCCTCAGATGATACCCACACGGCTGAGGCAGCAGATGGATCCAGAGAAAGAATAGGGTCCTGGCCTAAACCCCCAGGGTCAAGGTGAGTGGGAGAGTCATACTCAAATATCTTGTCCACAAATACCCACTTGAGGCCGGCGATGCAGAGGCAGAGGCTGACGAGGCAAGCCAAGATGGGGACAATGCAGATTTTCTCGGAGTTGAGGCAGCCTCTCAGGCGCTCGGTCTCCAGGCAGACACAGCAGGGAACGGCCAGGCCGGCGAGTGCCGGGCTTCTCCCATCCTCAGTCTGGGTCTCTGGCATGTCTTCTGCTGCCGGAAGCCCGTCAAGAGATGGGTCTGCACTCAGCTGAGTGGAGGGGCTGGAGGACCTCTCGGCGGCTACCTCGGTCATGTCTGGGGAATAAATCTCCATCGGCTCACCTCCAGAAGGCCTGGCCTCGCTCACCGTCCATTACCACGCAGAGCACCCCCCAACCAAATGAGACAGCATCTTACAGGGGGAAATCGATACGCCGTCCAAGTCCAAGGCCATTATCAAAAGCAAGAGGAGTTCAGGAGGAAAGAAGGGGAGGGAAAAAAAAGCCTCTAGCAACTACCAAATGAAAGTATATTGTAAATTCTTTACTGCTGTTTCTGGGCCACTTTTGCAGTTCTTTTAAATGCTTCTCCAAACCATGCCGGCGGGTCAAGAGGACAGAGGCCAAAAGAGAAAAACCAGCTGACCGCGGGTCAGTTAAGTAAACCAGTAGCCCAAACTGAAAGGCATGTTTCTCACCTCGAGCATCTGAAGCTGCTGTCTGCTCAGATGGAGAAAACAACTGTCATGCAGGAGAAGTAAAAGCAAAAGCAGGACCAGCGGCGGCGGCGGCGGCGGCAGCAGCGGCGGCGGCAGGAGAGGCAGCAGTGACAGTAGCAACAGCATCCTGTTGTGTTAACGCGACGGCTGAAAGGGGCTGAATCATTACAGAGCAGCAGGTGCCTGCCCTCCGAGCATCACTGCAAACAGTAGCATCGCAGAGGGATCGGAAGGCAAGAGCGCGGCCGGGAGGGGCGGTAACTGCGCTCCCCGCCCTGCCTCCACCCCCGCCCCCCCAACCACTCCTCTTTGTCCTCCTTCCTGAGCGCTCATTCACTTTCTTCCTCTGCGGCTCTTCCCTTCTTCACCGTCTCCTTCTCCTCCTTTCCTCTCGGCATCCAAAGAGGTTTTCTCTCTCTCTCTCTCTCTCCTTTTCCTCCCTCCTCTCCCAGCCCCCACCCTCCATCCACACTCTGGGGCTGCTGGCTGGTCTGAGTAAAATCAGGATAGCCAGCAACACGGGACTGCCAGTGACTTCCTATTTTATCCAATTAGAAGGAATAAAGGCCATCAAATGAAAGAGAAGCAGGCAGGCACCAGTTAAGCTTAGTCCCCATGGCCCCCACCCCTGTTTGCCTCTTTCTCTTTCTCTCTCCCCAAGCGGCCCCTGTCTTCCACCCTGACCTTGCTTGCTCTAAGTCTTGCTGGCCTCTCTTTCCTGCACCCACTGTTGGGTCAGAAAAAGCCAGCGATCAATGCTAGCAATCTAACAAAGCTGGGATGGGGCGGGGGATGTAGGTGGGACTTCTTGGGTTGGACCTGAGGCTTGGCAAAGTCTGATATCTGATTCCTCCCTAGAGAGGTAAGCTTTTCAACAGCAATTTCTTCCTGCCTGCTGCTGAGAGATAGCATTCCTTCCCCAGCCCTCTAATAAGTTTTGTTCACCAAGAGGACTGTTATTACCTGATTTTCAACCAACAGTGAGAACATTTTTTCCCTAACCATGGACAGCTCTGTCTTTAGCCCTTTTTCTGCAACGATTATGTCAGATTCGGTGATGCCCAGTGTGAAGTGGTAGGAGGGAGAGCGGTGCTAGGGAAGGGGAGAGAGGTTCATATGTCCCCACTGTGGTCCCCTTTAAATTCCCACTGCCCCGTCCCACTCACAGCAGTCCTAGACTAAAGTCAAGCTAACAAGAAACGCTGGTAAGTAACAGCTACAAAGGAAGCAGAAGCTACCGCTTCGCTTTGAAATTAGCCTTCATTGTGACTCCACACTGCGGAGGCTGAATTCCCCGGACGCTGTAATGTACACCACATGTCCTCAGCTATAACCGCACTGCACTAAGTATTAAGAAGAGTCTTCTATAAGACCATGCCTTTTGGGTTAAGTTTCAGTAGCTTTACCTTACAGATAGCTTCAAGGATGACTTTTTTTTTTTCTTCTGGTTCCTTTTAAAAACAGCAGTGGTTGAAAGACTGAAGAGAATGCACTGTCCTTAAAAGAGAGCACAGACTTCCCCGAACCTCCCATTCTTTGCGTGTCAGCACACGCTGGATGCATCTGAATCTTTAATCCACACTTTACTGTGACTGGACACCTGAATGGTTTCCAAGGAACCATTTTGTTCACCTATGTCAATAGGAGTCTTAAAAAACTGTCTCTAAATCCATACTACATAACCATCAGGTGAGTCCCAGAAGCAATAAAATGTAGAACTCAAGTCCTGAGAGAATCTGTTTTAAGCACATTATATTTTGTACAGCACAATCTCCTCTGCTTTGAAATAGTTTTAAGCTTTAAGTGGGCATGAAATAGTATTATTGTTTCTTTCAAAATGAAATTAGCCCATGACTATAAATGATCCAAGGGTAGTAATATCTCAAAATGTGTTTGTGGTACTATAACTAACAACAATGACAAAAGCCTGAACCAATTTGCATAATTGTAATTATGACTCTGACAAGCTGATGTGCAAAATGAATTATCCTTAAGTTCACCTCTATATAACCAGCACTTATATACCAGTAACCGGTGCTTTAAAATAATTTCTGTGCCTGCTTTCTAGCTTTAGCGATTTGATTTTAAAGGAGAGAGATTTTTCTTACATATTCTAGCAATGGGTATGAAATTTCACATCACAGAAAAACTATATGGAGGCATTTACAGTATTCAAACTGAGGTCTTAAAATATTAACAATATTCATGTAATTATTCAAAACCAACATAAGCAAGTAAATATTTATGCTAAATTAGGATAACTTATAATAACTTTAGAGATCACCCAGTTTAAATTTGTGGCGCTTTACTCCTCAATTCTGCCCCAAACCAATATTCCATGCAAGTATAATATGTTGGCATTTCATCCACGGCCAAGGTCACCTAAATTTCAAAGACCAAACTGGGGTTCAGGTAGCCCAAGTCAGGCAGGTAAGAGAAGATACTGAGAACCCACAGTTAACAAAAGTGGCCCTTCACTTACACCCATAACAACCACTCACCTCACCTTAGTCATTAAGAACAAACATATTCTGCAAACAAAGACATTACTGGGCGCTGCTCTAGTTGTCCCATTAAGGATGACCAACACTCACAAAGGAAAAGAACATACTACATAAAGGCTAGGACAAAACAGCGGGGACAGAGTCCCATGGGCTGTCACAGCTGTTCTTTCCCTTGGACTACACAAATCAGACGGGGGAAGGAAGTGTATGTTCCTCCCTGGAGAGGCACCATGAACCCTGTGGCTTCTCGGAGCCAAGATCAGCTTGCAGGGAGCCAGCATCCTATAAGGTTGTTTCCCATCAAATTGGAAGGTAAATGTAATTGAGGAAAAGGAGAGAGATAGGAGGGAAAGAATAAAAGGAATTCTCCATTAGTTCTACCCTTGAGACTAGGAATCAGAAGTAGCCTTTATCCCTTTATCAATTCCTCTACAGGAGGAAAGAAATGAGAACTCAAGTGAATAGAATTAGGGATCAGAATTTCTTTGAATAAAACATGCATGTTTCTAGGAAGAATTGCAAGGATACATCACTTTAACCCTTTAGGCTCCACCCCCCCCCAGTAAAGCTCAGGAACACCCATATTTCCATACCCACTTAAAAAATGAGCAAGAGATCAATTTTTACTACTTTTTAAAAACCACACTGCCACCTCCTTCATAACAAAGGCTGCTTTTATTGAGCGCCACGATTGTGCTCGGCACTCTGCTAGGGTCTTAATACACATGGTTTCTGAGCTTCATCAGCCCTGTACAGTACACATTCTCTTGAAAATAAAGAAATGGACTCAGGAAGCTTAGGTAACTCAGCCAGAGACACACAACTTTTAAGTGACAGGACCAAGATTTGAACAGAGATCTGACTCATGCTATTTCTACTGAAATATACTGTGGCTCATTTTTAATCAAAAGAATGCATCTGATTATGTATTGCTTACCTATCACTTCAATAGGAAAATAAGTGAACCAGAAAGTATAACAATGAAATAGGCATTATTACATTAAGGAAGGTGGTAAATGAACTTAAAGGTGCCTAGTTTCCAAAACAAGAGCCTTCTAAAATTCTGCCTAGTGATTTTTCAGAAGTCACAAGGATTAAGCACAGGTTATTTAAATATGATCTATTTAATTGAATGAGTTTTTCCACAGTCTCAGTTCTGGGATTTTTTTTTTGGAAAGCTATTTCAGTTATATATTGCTATGAAACAAATTGCCCTGAAATAGCTTAAAACAACCATCACTGTCATATTTCACTCGTCTGCTGGTTTACTGGGTTCAGCTGAGTGGTTATTCTGCTCCGTTGGATGTCAACTGGGGCTCCAATCAGCTGAGGCGCAACTGAGCTGAAATATGCAAGATGGTTGGTGCACATGACTGGCAGCTGATGCCAGATGTCAGCCGAAAGCTCAGCTGGGACTGTAAGATGGTGCGCCAACATGTGGCTTCTCACCGCATGGCAGCTGCATTCTGAGAGAACACAGCCCAAGATGGAGGAGGCCCAAGCTGCCAGTCATCTTTAAGACTGACTCTCGAAAGGGCACAGGTTACTTCAACTGCATCGGACTGGCCAACCAGTCACAGTGCCGGCTGAGATTCAAGGACGGGGAAATAAATCTCGAGGGAGAGAGTGATAAAGAATTTGCAGCCACAGTGAATCCACCATGGTAGATAAGGAAGTAGACGTTAGTAAGGCAACCTGGGTCAAGAGGAGAAAGGTTTTTTGCTTATTTCTTTGAGTAGAGTAAAGTTTATTGCTGGGCCGAGCAAGGAGAATGGTGGCTCATGCCCAAAATACCCCCGAAGTCCCTGAAGGGTTTCACCTGGGTCAATGGGATTTGGCAGAACAAAGTCAAAACACACTTGTATTTCTGATCCACTGTCATAATTGTCCCGCTTCCTTCTAAGCCCACTTAATGAAGAAAACAATCCCATTATATCATCAAATAAAAAATACTCAAATTCCTCTGCAACTTCAATCAAACTAGGCTACTGATTCCGCATTACTTTCATTTATTTTATTATCAGAAGTATTTAGCACAGCTTCAGCAGCTGAAAGAGGATGGTCAGTGCCATTTTGCTTTTGACCATATTATGCAAACTTGTTTTCTCTTGTACATTTATTTCGATATGTTGGCTATTTCACTCTGAAAATGTTAATCTCTGAAAAACGGTTACCCTTGCTCCTTAAGTTTATGGCTGAAAAGGGAGAATTTACTTCGTGGTGTCTAATACCATGATGGCAGCGGTGATTTCATTTTTGGATTACAATCTTTGAAGATGACTATGTATAAACTGTAATGATTTATTCATTTGCTAATGGATTATGGAATCAGGATTTTCACAAGGAAGCTCCAGGGCCTAAAAGGCTCCCTAAAACTTGCTGTTTCCTATGAGAGGACAAAGGACGCACATGGGACTGTCAG